AATAATAGTGATGAATTGTGTTATATAGCCCAGACTTTCTGTGTTTTTCCCCCTCTCTTCTTAGACCTGCCATGACTAACAGCACTCACTAGGAAAAGTGGGTAACAGTAGGGGTACATTTTCTACCAAGGAGCGCCTTATAATTGACTAAATGTCATGATTGTAAGATAGGAGAACCTCCGAGCTGTGAGTTTTATCACTGCTGTAAGCCAAATTCCCTAACAATTCCAGCCAAAATATTATGAAAAAGAATACTTTAGGGCAATACTGATGAAGACAACTGTTTTAGTGTTTCTTCTTAAATCTTTTTGTAATTATGATATCTCAATATTATAAATGATGAAATAAATCTATTCTTACCAACTTAATTTAACGTATAATGTGAATGCTAGAGCAATTAACTTGAGAGATATGTCATATCTCTGAGTCTCAGTTTACTTATCTGAAAAACAACTACAGTATTGAAGTAGACAATTTCTAAAGTCCTGTTCAGATAATAAATATATATGATTACCAAAAGATGTGTGACATATTATATATCTATCTACTTATTACCTGGGCAGTTTGCATTTATTCCTCTGAAATCTATCTTGTGTATAAAGACTTGATTTTTTACCCTTATGAATTACTCTGGCATGTGAAGTATTTGCTCTTCTAACAATAACCAGCTAGTCATCCCTTAGTTTAATGGGCTGGGAATGTAATTAATCTTCTAAGTTTTGACACAAATATCAAATAATAGTGACTGAAACTTCCCCACTCCTTGGAAAATAAAACTCAAGATTTTTCCCTAGGCTGATCATGGCATATTGATTTCTATCTCTGAATCAATAGGCAAAGGAGAATAAAATATACAAGGTATGATACTTTAGTTATAACCCCGTTATCAATGAGTCAATTGGTAGGAGTTAGCCAGGTGATAGCAGGATGTCTTGAAAGCATATTCATAGATACTGAAAATATTGTAAAATTTTTATCTCTGTAAAAGGTAAGAAGTATGTTGTGTTAAAAATCAGAAGAGTATTATTCAGAAAACTAAATGTTAACTGAAGTCCATCCCAAAGGAAAGTAATTTTCAGCAGGATGTCTCTTTTTCTGAAAATTGTAAAGGGAATACTCCTCTGTAATCTATAAAAATGGTTGGAATACTAATTACTATTACAAATTTACATTTCAAAT